GGGATCATGTGTTCGTTAGATCGTGATGTTATGCATGTATTTCAGTTTCAAAAGTATGCAAATGGTAAGTGTTATTTTTATTTATCTTGTTGATGATGTCTAGTTTAGTTTTTAAATCATTGTATGTTTGTCTTTGCATTTGTTAGGGAATTGTGATGTGGATGGAGAATTGTACATCGGAAAATAATTCAATGATAAAGAAACTGTTATGTGAACAATTAAAGGTTATAGCATATTGAAATGAGTGAACTACAAAGTGATCCAGTCAAAACCTAATACTCCAATGCATGAGGTATGGAATAAATTATAGATGAATACTTTGTGCTACTTTTAGAAAGAATGGATATATTTGAGAGATAAGAAGGTATAATGACCCGTGCACATGTATAAAGAGAAGGATTTCTCAAGATCATAAGAAATTGAATTCAGACACCATTGCAAAATGTATCTTGTTGACGGTAGAGTCTGATCCATCCTTTAAGATAAAACTTGTAATTAGTGAGATTCAATTTCGATATAAATAAATGACAACATATTGAAAAGCAAGGATAGAAAAGTAAAAGACAATTGAAAAAAATTTTGGTAAATGAAGAGTGTCATTTAAAGCTTTGTCATGACGGTGTGTTGCAATGTATGACACTGCTTAAGAATCAATTGTTTAGTTGGACACTTTACTGACCTACCACAACAATAATTTGGTTTCCAATATTCAAATATTTTGTTGATTAATCCAGAGTTTTAGTTTTTGTATTAGAATATTTAGACACTGCAAATAACTTATACAGGTTAATAAAATACATTTATATGACAAATAAAAGAGAATTTTATTGGTAGTTAATATACAATATAGTAGTTAAAATATATCATTAATTATTTTTCCTATTGTTGAAGATGAAACTCCCCATACTTGATTTTTTTTTTCCTAATAATTTACACAACCACGATGTCACCCAAAATAACATCAACATCATTTCTTACACAGTAGGAGACTTAGCTTCATGCATCTGAGTACAAGAATTGTATATTGTATTACCTACACATGCTCAATTGCTCATAGCCACAAATCAATGTCACTCTCGATTTCACCACCCTTTTCTTTCTATGGTGCATAAAAGTGTGTCTGTTTTAAAATTTGATAAGTTACTTTTGAAAATATGAACTTGAGAATGTAACATTCTTATATTTATTATAAGTTTTACTTTTTCCAGCACAAATTTAAATTTTAAGAATGATTTTTTTTTATATTGTAATTGACTTTCATTTTTATGAGAGGGGGTGAGAATTTTAAAAGTTATTATTGTGTATCCTAATTAGTAACGTTTATTCTGACTATTTAGAATTAGGATTTTTTTTTCATATTATTAACATTAAGTGTGCATTTTACAATATTTTAGTGCAAAGTTAACGTATTAATAGTTCAGTTATAAAAAATTGTGGTCAAGTGCAGCAACTTTTTCTTTTCAACTGGTGGTTACCATTAATTTTATATATATTTTTTTTAATATAAATTTTCTCGCTTTTTCTTTTCTTTTCTTGATTTCCTTGTCTCCATCACAGGAAATCTATTTTGCGGTTAAGAAATGATTCCTCAAGATATCTTATTAATTGAATTTTTATATTTTAATTTTAATTTATTTATTTTAATCAAGTGCTTACTTCTCTTATTCTTTCTATGAATTGATCAACTACATGTTAACATTAAATTCACTTTCACAACTAAAAAATTAGTTGATGGATTAGATTCATAGAATATTCACAAGAATGTTGATATCTAAAGGTGAGAATTGATGATTATTTGATTTTATCAATTATTAATCCAAATGCTCATTCCAATTAAAAAATTAAAATTTTTAATTTAAAAGAAGGGATTAGTTATCAAGAAATTAAAGTTAACCCTTTCTAATGAATTTTTTCTTTAATTAGATATTAAAATTTGAGTTAAGAATAATAATTTTTTTGTGTGCTTAGAATGAGACTTTAAAATTTTACTCCAATTCTCTAATATTCTTAAATATTTCTATTTCATTCTACGTTGTTCTATTTTTTCTCCTATCACTTCAAAAACTAAGTTCAAATTTCTACGAACAAAATTTTAATAAATGATTCATGTGACCTAAAAGAAAACTAAGTTGAAATATAATAACTTTATTAATCATAGTTAAATCTAATCTCTATAAAAATAATAAAAAATTATGTTTTATTATTTAACACAAATATGCACACTTAGGAATGACAATAGATAAAGTATTTGATGAACACCTGTAAGATTTACTCACAATAGGTAGAAACTTTACTTATTATATGGGCACGAGTATAGTATGAGTAAATACTCGCAAATTTTAATAGGAATAGGTGCGGATATAAGTATTTTTAAGTACCCATCCTGCTCCCATATCCAAATATATATATATATATATATATATATATATATATATATATATTATTCTACTTATGTAAATTTTATATATGTTTAAACTTTGTTCTATAATTATATATTGAATTTGTGTATTATTATACTACTTATGTGAAGTTATATAAGATTAATATAAAAATATATTTAATAATAAAGTAAACCAAAACAATTATTTAGATTCATATTTTTAATAAAAAAATTTATTTACTATTTTATATTGTTTAACTAAGCTAATATAATTTAATTATTACATAGTTGATATGAGATTGACTTTTTTTTTTATAAAATTATTTATATATGATATACATAAAATATTTTTCACACAAATATTTTTGTTAATTACATCATATTGATATTTAATTTATAAAGTAATAATAAATAATAAATATATTATAAATATTTTAAAAATTTTATAATCACCTACTATTATCGTAAGCTTATTATTTATTAATAATATTTATATTTTATATTTTATATTTCAATTTAAATAATATTTTCTTATGCATTACAAGTTCAACTATAATTTATTGAATTTAAATAATATTATTTTTACTATTTTATTTCCATTCAAAGAAATTTTTTGAAAAGATATAAAATTTTAAAAAATATCGTTAGTTCTTATTTATTAATTTTTTTAGATAAAAAAGTATAATTTTTTTAATATATACGTATTTTTTATTATAAAATTTTATTGTGATTATTTATCTTTTATTCAAGTTCTTTTTTTAAAATTTATATACATTATAAATATTTAATTCATCAAAATAATTTTGTCAAAAATTTTTAGTTTAAAAAATTGTTGTATTAAGATACATTTAACACTTGTGATCTTTGAATATTTATTTTTTATCTATGCTTGTATCTTGTTTGGTAACTACGTATCAAATTTTTGTATTATTATATTACTTATGTAAAGCTATATAAGCATTTTTTTTTTATAAATATTTTTTTCTCAAACGAGCGTGGATAATGGATACGAGTGTGAGTATGCATAGGCCCGGTTCTAAGGGTAGTTTAAAGGTGCGATTGTTTAGGGTCCAAGCTTAAAAGAGGGTCTAAAGTAAAAATTATATCTTACTTTGACTTGAAAAAAATTTCAGCTCTTACAGTTTGCAGTTGAAAAAAATAGAAAAACAAAAAAGACATTTTAATTTCTTGTACCTCACTCGCTATCAACATAGTCAACTCCTTGACTTTTGTAGATTCAAAACTTCATTTAATTCTAAAATTTTACTATTGTTAGCATTAAAACTCATGGAAAATTTGTTTTCTCCAAAAAATTAACCAGTTTTTAAGTTTGTCAAATTTGCAGATTGTTATCTAAATGTTTTAATCACTTATAATTTTTTTTTTACAATCTCGGTAACTATATCATCAACTGAAAGAAGCTTTTTAGAGTTAAAGTTAATCAAAACTTACATAAAGTTATCAATGTCACAAGAACTATTGAATGGTCTTGCAATTTTATCAATCGATAAAGAATTTTTAGAAAATATTAATGTTAATGTTATTATTAATGATTTTTCATCTTAGAATGCTTATAGAACTTATTTTTTATGTGTGTTTTTGTAGTTAATTATAACATAGGAGTTGTTTGAATAATAATATTTTTTTTATAATTTTATTAGAAAAATTATAGCCACTTAAAAAAATATATTATTTTAATAAAATTATTAATATATATGCTTTTATTTTATTTATTATATTTTATAATTTTTTTAAAGAGCCCTAATTTCCTATTTCACTTAGGGTCCAAAAAAGTCAAGAACAGCTCTGGATATGCAAGTATCCAGAGAGTATGAATACGATGATTTATGTTCATATCTATGTGCGTATAAGACTAGGTACGGGTATCTTTTTAAAATGCAGGTATAGACTTATTATTTCTATAGAATACTTATTATTATTATTATTATTATTTATATATATATATATATATTGTATATTATTTTTTTATTTTATAAATTTTTAGTTTTAAATAGAATATAATTTTTATTTATTATAAATAAAAAATTATAACATAATATATTAATATAATAATTAAATAATAATAATAGAATTAAGAATATAAAAAATATATTAATATAATATTTAATATTTTTATTTTATTTTTAAATTTTAGTTCTTTTAATTTTTCTATTGTATTCTTTTTTCAAGATTAATATTGACAACAATTCTTTTTTCAAAATAAATATTAATATCAGTGTCTCACAAATATAATCCGATTGTGAATAAATAGATCAATTTACTAACATTACATAAATTTTTTTTACTTCGTTAAATGGTGAATTCGTTGGATTTTCTAACGAACAAGAAGCTTTTTTAGAGATTATTCCTAAAAATATTAAATTTAACTAAACATATTTCTTAACTTACCCAAGAATAACTTTCTAGACCATTTCTCCAGCATCATGATTCTTTGATAACCATAAATGAATGTTACGTAAAGAATGCATGTTCACAATATTTAACAAACTTTTAATAGTTTTAGTTTTTAAAAAGTTTAGAATAATAAAAATTCAATTTAATTTTTTTACATGATAATAATTTAATTAACTTATTGATAGATCGATCTAAACTTTCTACGAGAACAATAAATATTAAATTTCATTTGAATATTTAAGGTTACTAAAAAAAAGCATTTTAAAAGGTTGAATGATTGTGACCATTAACACTTTTAATTTTCATTAAATATGTATCATCATATAGTCTATATCTGTAGTTCTAGCGTTCTTAAAATGAATAATGTTCTCACTATATATATGTCTACATACAGAGGATTATTTCCATTCGATATTTCTATCTCGGGATAGAGGCATTGTGCTTTTTCTTTTTAAAATAAATAATCCCTTTCTAAGTTTTGTCCTTGTGGTGAAGCTCTGAATAACATCCTCAAACCATGCCGCAAGATTAGATTAAAAACTAGAAAGGAACATTCTTAACCAATTGACTAGAGGCCAGGTGGTTTAAATAGAGGAACACGATTAAAAATGCCTTCTACGTCAATGGGCAATTGAAGGGCACGGCTAAGGACTTCCGGAGTTGATGTCTTCCCCTTCCAAGTGTTAAACCATGGCCCTCCTCCAACTTCTAGAGCTGCCATATTGCTTGAAACGTCCAATATGTTCTGCCATTTACCAAAGATTCATGAAAATGTCTTATCAAATAGTGTGTTTAAGTAAGCAAATTAATTTAAGTGCTTATTTAATAGGAGGCTCTTTTCACACCAGTTTTTAGAAAAATTTTGATCATAAAACTTACTAAAATATGTTGAGAAGAACCTATAAAAATTAACTATTTTTTCATAGGTTTTAAATCTAGAAACATTCTATGTGTGAATAAGAAGACACCTTTCCCTTGCTGCCATCATATCTTCGTTCCCACATTTGTAATTTTAGAATTCCAAAGCACGTATCTTTACAAGCTGGGGCAAGGCCAGCTTCTGCTGTTGGAGCACGCAATGGAGAACCAGGATCCTCAGTTGTTGCTTCCAATTCAACCTGCCAAAATGTAATATATTGGGCCAGTCTTAAGCCAAAAGGGCTACTCTGTTTCTCCTGGACTGAGAAGTTCAATCAAAGTTTTTCCTAAAGCAACCCACTTCCTAGTATTGATCCTATAGTCATTAACATGTTCAGATCATTCAATTGTTAACCCTCTTTTCACAGGCAAATCTCTTAGATTTCGTAGTTTTATATTTTATAGATCTCTTTAAATGGAAATGAGATGCAAAACTGGAATACCAACTACAACTAGTGTGGTGAGGGTAACAATTCATTTTTCCACCAACAAAAAAATAAATATAATTAGAAAGATATAATTACCACGTATCTGCCATTGTCTGCAGACATAAACCAATAACCCCAAGTAGTAACTTCCCAGTTCACAACACCATTCCATGGCACAAATTCATAAAACTGTCCATCATAATGAATTCCAATCTGCAGCATAGAAAATATTATAAAAAAATAAGAAAAAACAATAATTATATAATAATAAAATAGAAAGATTAATTGCTCATAGTGACTAAAAGAAGATGGAAAATAGAACCACAACTTTTTTTACCACAACTTGAAAATAATTGAAGTCTATCATTAGATATTGTAATTAGAACATTTCAAAAGAAATACCAACCTAATTAAACCACTTTACAAGAAATATTAACAATAGTCTCCATCACTCATGATTATAAGCTGAGGACATGCTTCCTTTAAGTGTCTGTAAAGGGATTAATGCATAATGGAAGATACAAAAAAGCTTGGTGTTTTCAACCTCATGCAAGAGTTTGTCAAATCATAGAGAATAACTAACATGAACAGAGACTGTTATTTTGACAAGATGGACAACACTCAAATTAGCTATTCGTTCTTGTCCTTTTTGGTCAATCCCATTGCGACCACCACTTATTTCAGAGGTAATCTTAATATTACGTAAAGTCAGTGAATTAAAATTTGAAATGTGCCAAATTGATAGACAAATGCTGTATAAAGTTACCAATGCAGCATTTTCATAGTTCTCGGTTATTCCAGGAATTAGCCTCAATCCACCAGCTGCTGTAAGTGCAATGTCTCCACTACCACCTTCAAAAACATTACACTGAACCTGCATGAGATCAATAGTTTGAGAAACTGAAAATATACAAACATTAATCATAATATTGGTGAAAATAATTGAATATCAATGTAACAACACAAAAGTATAATAACCCACAACATCTGCTGCAAAAATTCTAAGTACACATTTCACAAATCATGATAAAAATTCTCCTTTAAGCAAATTATATTTTGTGAAGTTTGATAGTCTTCTGGCCCTTCATGAATAATGACTACTGTTCTTGCATCTAGTTCTTGCTAAGAAAATAGACAATTTATATTCTATAACAGTATAAAAATGAAGAAATAAAGCATTCTAACCCTAATTTTCAAAAGACAAGAAGATTTGCAACTGATTACATACACCCAGTTATAGCAAGCCATGGAATTAATATGCTGATAACACTACAAGATATACTTCGATGAGGAATTATTTTTACCCAAAACCATTTTCTTGGGAATGCTCCACCCCAATTCTTTTCTGAATAAGACGGGGCATTGTCAAACTCAATCCTTTCGCCGTCCCATTCTATCCAACCTGAGATTCAATATTTATATAAGGAAAAAGAGAAAAGAGCATAAATATCATATCACAAACAAGAGTGATTAATTTTTGAAGAGCACGTGCACATTGTGAACTGATTACCAAACAGGATCCTAAAAATCCAGTCTTAAAACAAACATTGACCTTGTAAATGTGAATAACATCATACTCCCTCTCTTCTCTCCCAGGGTCAATATTGTAGCTATAACAACAATTATAACCTCCCAGCATTTCAATCCTCTTGATGTTTAATATTTTGTAGATAATAAGTAATTTCAATCACTTTGGAAAACTACATTAATGTTTTACTGCAATAATAAATTCATATCAATTGTTCACGTTTCAGTTTAGACATAACAAGTAGGATACTAGGCTACAAAATAAATAAAAAAGATTGAATAACCAACAGCTGAACAAGTAGCACATGCCTGTTGACAGTCCACCGGCCATGCATATTTGCCAATGCGGTTCAAAAACAGGAAATGCAGCAAGCCAGCCAGCAGTAGACTTCTGTGTAGACCCAACATCACCCCAACCATACACAGGGCGTGTGCTATACTCCCAGCGAGCCGTCTTCACTGTTTCTACATAATTTGACCTATAATTAAAATTTTGTGTCAAGAACAAATATAATCGGAGAAGGCAATGCTTAACAAGCGATCTAACTCCACCTTCCATCGTCGCGAATGAAACCTTGATGCCAAAGGGGTGTGACTTGAAAACCTTCCAGCACTGTATTATTAAATTCCTACTCAAAGTAACCAAATACAAAGCACAATAATAAGTGGCAATATAGAAAAGACCTGTTGCTGCAACCTACTCTTATGATTACCTTAGAAAGTGCATGCGAGTACACAACTTAATTAAGTAATCATTCAATAAGTTCTTTCTATACAAAACCTCATGCTGTAAATTTCACCATAAACTTTATTGGAACAACCAAAAAGAGCTTATCTTGAAAATCTACATATCAAGCGACTTATTGAAATAAGTTAAAAAGAACTTCTGACCTCTGAGTGTGCGTTTGGTTCAGCTTATTTTGAAAAAAAATAATCACTTATTTTTTCCAACTTCTTAACAAGTTCTAAAAAATAAGCAATCACTTCTTCAAGAAAGCACTAAAACCATTTTCTTGACTAGCTTAAAATTGTTGAAAGAAAGTCAAGGACTAAGAACTAAGAAAAACGACAATCCAGGCAATAAACAAAAGTAGTATTGAAAAAGAATCACCTAAAATCCAACAAACAAATATAAAAGAAACAGTGAACATAACAGTTGGGCACCGAAAATCATAAACATGCATGGCATGATCCTCCGAAAAAGACAAGGTTTTAGAGGTAACACAAAAATTTGCACATTAATTGTGTGGTACAGAACAGAGACCTGAGGAGGAACCTCCTTGTTTGGAGGTTTAAGATTTGGTTTGGGCACGAAAGTGTTCCCCAACATTAGTTCATGCCTGCCTAACCATTCAAATTAATTATCATAACAATCAGTCATTTTTAAATTTACATTAAAAAAAATAAAAACAAAGAAACTCTTACTTCCCCAGAAGTGTTCAGATTCAGGAGAGTATTGACAAATATACTTGTCATCAGCACCAAGAATTTGGGCCCCAACACCAGTGAATCTGGGCCCATATTGGGCCTGCTCTAACGGCGTCAATGGCTTACGAAATGCAGGACTCTCGACGGAATACATGAAGCAAAAGCTCTGCCTCCGTTGGGGAATGGAAACTTTGAAGTACCAACCCTCGAAGAATTTGCGGGTACTCCCATCAAAATGGTACCTATTAATAATTCATTAATAAAATATAAACATTTTAATTCAAAGATAAATGGGTAAATAAAATACCCGCTGTGAGGGGTTCGAAGGTCTCGATTGGGAGGCGTGGGGGAATAAGTGGGTTGGACAGAAAGCGCGTCTGAGAGGGAAGTGTGAGGTATGAGGCGCGTGGTTGATGACGGAGATGGATGTTTGAGAGAGAGAGGGACAGTGGAGAAAAGGGCTAACGATAAGGCTTCCATGGATGAGTTGTGAGTTTGATTGAGTGCATGCACAATCACAATTCACAAGTAGAAGATTGTAGTCAGCGACTACTACTAGTGTTATCTCCGTCGAAGGACGTGTGTTTATAGGTCTCACCAAAATTACTAATGAAAAATTGCAAATTACAATTATTGACCTGTCTTGCAATATTTTGGGTATAATGGTTCAAATATCAGGTAAAGACAAATGTTAGACAAGTAATTAGGATGCGGTTGCAATAACTTGTCGTGAACGTATGTAATAGTTTTTTAATTTCAAAAGCCTTTTTTCAAATTTGTTTTCATAATTTCTTTTTAGTTTATTCTAATAAATCTTATTATCAGACTTATAAGTTCTCAAATGAAATGAATTGCCTTATTGATTTTTTTAATATTTTAAAAAACTAATTATCAAAATAAATAAAATTGAAACCATCCACCTCATATTTAGAGGATGTTTTCAGTATAGGTTGTGTTAGTAAAATAAAAGTGTTCCAAATCTTGAGTTCAAGTTCCAATAAACGGAGTTATATATGATTTAGACAAAATAAAAAAAAGCAATTTGAAAATTTAAGGTTAGTAAAATCATTTCTTTTAAAAAAATGTAATTTTTATTCCAACTTAAAAATTGATGGTAAATATGATCATGGATTAGTTAAATGAGTAAAATATGTATTTTGAAAGATCAATTTTTGCTTCCTAAATGATAGTTTGGTTAAGAGATAATTTTCGTAGATGCTTAATTTTAACTCAGTTCTCATATTAAAAAGTTTTTTAAAATTTGTCTTCACAGGTGAAATCATTCTCAATTCAAAGTTTTGCAAATGTAAATGAGACAATGGCGTTTATGCTTGCACCTACCCCGGAGGATGCTCAACGGAGCTTAGGGTTGGCAAACGAGGCTTCTGGGTAACGCTGCTAGCTATGAGTGCATAAAGCTTGATTACTTTATTCTAATACTATATTAAAAAAATATTGTAATAAAACTTACATATTAGAATGTGTAATATTCATCATTTCATCACTAGCAAAATTCACTAGTTTTTTTTTTAATAAATAAACTAAAAATGTATTCTTCAGATACAAATATCCCTATTATATTTTCCTCAACTCAACCTCGTTTCATTAAATTTTTAGTGATGTGCCCCAATTTCCTAATCACAAATCAACAATACAGATTGATCATTTTAAACTAATTTGGGTAAAATTAAAGGTAATTGATTGTTGATTTCAAACCTTGGAATGATTTAATGATTCATTATGGTCTTAGAATTATCAAAACAACAGAGAATAACACTCAACATATGACAAGGGGAGCATTGCAGTGTTGTTTAGAGAGGAATCCAAATTTATTTTTATCACAACACTAACATTCAACGACTCCCATCCCTTCTTCCAATCAAAATTTAACGATGGTAGGTTTATAGTCAATCACAATGACTTTCTCCAAGCTGGGAAGGAGCAAATTTGCATATTCCACATGTGCAGGATGAGCTACATACTCTGCAACGCCTTCTGTGCTCTCAAAGGTTGATTCAAAGACATGAGTGAAACCCTGATGGAGGTTTTCAGCACTTACATCATTGCCCCTACAATACATAATGCATTATATGTGCATTAGATATACTGCTCTGAAATGTTTTGATCTTCACAATAAAGGGTTCAAGTGCAAATGTTTAGAAAGTAAGATGCAATGCGAAAGTTTAATACATTTCTCAATCCCCTGTTTAAGTTCCACCTTTTCTGGCATGATAACACATAATTCTTCAAGGAAAATGTTTGCTACACAATATTTAACACATTTCACATCATTGGTTTGTTTTTCGAAATGTGAAAACCCTTCCATAATAAATTAATCAATTTTTAAAATCTGTTTTGACCTTTTAAAAGACCAATTACAAGAAATGTATTGAATAGTGTGGTTTTACCATTCCTATTAGCTACAATCCTAACTTATATTCGATTAGACCTTACATTCAGATGAGAAATCTTTCATAACCAGGAGGAGGCATGCCAGATAGAGAAACTTGAATCTTCAAATGAGAAATCTTACTTTCCTCTTTAGGCTAGCTTTGACATATACAACAATAGATATGACAATTTCCAGGTTGGAGATCAAGAAAGCTAATACCATCATCATAATTTCACAACGACAAATCACCTCTCATTCATCCATTTTGCTAGTCTCTCACACAGTCACACTAATATCATACTCACCTGTACAAACAACAAATCACAAAAGACCCTAGGATGCAGAAGAAGCATAGATCTTGATCTGAAACCTTGCAATTTCACCTAAGGACTTCAAGAATCTCAGCAAAAATTGACTAGTAATAATTCTGAATACAGTATCCAGTAGATCAGGGTGTAGCTATAAACAAACTGGAAACAAACCCAATTAATTTTCCACTGATTCTGCCTATCTATACTTACTCATAAGCTATAACCTGATTAATCCCATTTTAATAAACTGATTAAAAATTCAATTTTTTTGTTCAAACGGGTCTAGTTTTTGCGGCACATTTTTGTATCATGTGAAAAAGTCACTGGTAATTGCCCTGATCCAAGTGGGTTATTGAATTGGAAGGATGAGAAAGAAAACAAAACAAACACATAAAAAAAGAGAGACGGAGAAAGAATGAATGGGGTACCATTGGAATGACTTCATGGGTGGGATGAGATTGACGAGATTGGCATAGGCCTTGATGAGTTCCTCAATTCGCTGTGGAGTGATGTCATCCTTGAATTTTCCGATGACTATGTGTTTCACTACTCCTTTTGCTTCCTCCATTTCTCTCCTTTCTCACCCTCTGTTTGTACAGTGTTCTTAATTCCTCTATGCGAAAAATATCACCGCATTAATTGAATTTATCGTAATCTGTAATCAAACGATCTTATCCGTTAAATCTTTTGACTTGTTTCTGGAATCGTAACGTTAGCTCAATTGGATCCCCAATCCGTACTACAGGCCTCGGAAGTTAAAATATTTATTAAAAAATATATTATTTACTATATTAAAGTATAAAAGTTAAAGAAATTACTTGTTTATATCAATAATTTTAACTATTTGTCACTCTGACTTATTTTTGTCTAAAATACTCTTATCAATCAATATAATTATAAGAAAAAAAAATTTTAAAACAAAGAATTACTTAAATAAAATTAATAATAAATACTTAAAAATAATAATAAACAGTTAAACACATTCATAATCTTATTAATTTCCTTTTTTATACGCTTTATACCACACACTATATGTTAAACGATGACAGCTGGTGAAAATTGAAAAATCAGAAATATAAATATAAGTTAAACAATCTAAATCCGATGGAACGTGTTCAACCCCCACAAGATGAAGACCTGGTTGTCCACAATAAAAGGAGAAAACACAAGTGAATCAGCGAAAAAGTGTCAATAGTTATATTTTTAGGAATAATTAGTATTGATATTCATGCAACATACAAAATAATTTATATTTAAAATTTAATATTTTAAGTGTAATTAATCAAAATTGAATATATAATTCTTTTCAATTTTTTTATCATAAAGATTTAGTATGAAATTAATATCGATGCATTTTAATAATATTGTTCAATTGTACATATTTTCTAGTTCAATTAAATTTTATAATAATACTTTTATCTAATAAATAAACATTTTATACATTATAATTAAAATATTTGAAATATAATGGTTAACTTTGGTAAATAGAAATGTTAAAGCTATAAAAGAAGTAATTTAAAATTTAACAATAACACGACTTAATTTTATATGGTTCATTTGTAACAACATTTAATTGCACATTTGAACTTCATGTACGTATAGATTGTTATGTTTAATTTAAATAGGATATTTATTATCAATATAAAATTGAATGGTCAAAAATAATTTTTCTCATATTATCACACAATACACTTTTTACGTGTACCCATCTCCCATGATTTTTAATTTGAATAAAGTCAACATCATTTTACTTCATAATTTGTTTATTAAGAAATATTTTATGAATAGTTGCTTTCAGATGTTGATAGCTAAGTAAAGCTAACTATCTAGGAATATTGATTTTAATAACTTTTTAACATTCTAATTTTGATGAATTTTAATTATTGATAAAAATATTATTTCTATCCAAAAACTAATTCACCCTCTTTTGAAAATTAAAATTTAAATAAAACTTTACCTCATCATAGACAATAGAAGATTTATATTCAATTTATTTCTTTTATATATTTATAAATGAAATTTATCTATAATAATTACTTATATTATATTAACAAATACTTCATTTTCTTTATTTCTAATCAATGTATGTATAAAGTACATATTTTATATGTAATGAGAATTAAATTACTTTCATTATTAGTTTTTACAATTTTTGAAAAAAATTATAGAAAATTTTGGAATGTTAAGGTCGAGACAACATATATGTGAAGCGCAAAAGTTGCGTAATGCTCACAACTAAAGGAAATATGAAGTGAAAAATTTATACGTGTAAGAACTAAGACGGAGACTTATTGACTTTTTTTTGTCTAAGGATCAAATTTAAAATCAATATCACAAGTAAAGACCACAAATTCAATTCGATACAGCTTGTCAAATATTAGCCGATGCCATGTTAGAATCTTTAATCACGTGGGATAAGCAAATGAGCATGTTATTATGGAGATAATATAAAAAGCAAAATAATAAATTATAATTAAGAAAATGATAGTTTCTTCATTCATTTTCCTTCCCTTTGCATTTCATTTTCAACATAGTGTAGGGAAGAAAACTTTTTTTATTGTAGGTTCCACCTTTCTTTATTATTATTATTATTTTTCTTCCAAGCAGAGGTAATTGCATTATATTATTAGATATTAGGTTTCCACTCTTGATATCTTCTTTACACAACCATAATATATTCTCATGACATGCTTGTTTGCCATCCAGATATTTATGGAAATACTTTATTCATTTTTCAAATATCACCACACTTTCTCCGTATCAAAGCTTTCTAATCCTTGCTTTACGTCACAAAAATGAAAAGTATATACTCAAACCTCTAAATCTCGCGCATGGAGAGCCAAAACCCATCAATTGTCAATTGTCATTACTTAAGCTACTAGCAAAAATCATATAATCTAGTCCATCAGACTCATATACACCTTACAAGCCTATTGGTTTTTCAACATTTTTCTGTTTGTAAAATAAGCTGACTCCTATTTTTCTAGAGCTAACAAGTCACCTTCTATGTTTAAGAAACTTAATTACTGTTAATTGAATTATACTGCTTCATTAACACAAGAAAAAGAGGAGAAAGAAAAAAGAAATAAAGCTTTGCTTAGGATTAAATATAATTTTTAACAGTAATGCTAACACATCTCCAAATGCAGTGAAACTTGTTAAATATCTTGACGTTCAAAATTCCTCCCAATTTTACAGGAGAAATATTGTTCAATTGTAACAAGTAGAGAGTAGCCAACTGAAACATACCTGCCTCTGCGTCGAACTCTAAGAAATTCAAGCCACAGGTGTGGATTGGATTACCTTAGAAACTGTATAATTATAATGTACAAGCTGTTAGAGAGGAAAATGCACTATTAACTAATGGACTTGTCACAACTATGGCATCATGTGAAGGAGTGCAATCAGTCACGGAATATAGAGCAGGAGAATGTTGAAATAATCCTCTCTGCAATGCAGAATGCTGAAAAAAGTTTTAAATCATATCAATTTAGGGAGATGGGGAAGTTTGAATTTAACAGAAGAAATGTATGAATGTACAAATTCTGGATTTGTTTGACATGTGACCACAAATTCAAAACTTGATTCTCCATTGATTTACAGTTATCCAGCATTCAAAATATATGCGTTTCAGATATAGAAGCAAAAGAAAGGGATATCAATTGCAAAATATAAATAGAAAATATTTCATAATAAAGTTACTATATCTTAGAATATCTCACATAGTGTAGGCAAAAGAAAGGGATTTTAATAACTTTTTCTTGTTTGGTTCAAGTTTTCAGTTTTTCTACATTCGACGATCAGATCTAACATTTGAAGGGTGAGGAAAAATGTTCGTCACATCATCATAGATGTAATTTGGACCTGTCTCCAGCCCTAGACACTGCACCAGTTTTCTAGCCCAATTTATGCCTCAGGGGGTTTATCATACCAGCAGCAACTTCTTTTTCCCATTTAAGGAAAATTTCTTTTTCCTTGGTCATGCAAGATTCTAACAAGCTCTTCAGCCTCATGATCGTTCCAATCATCTTGCTAAGTTATTTTTCCAGCAATGCTTATCTCTCTAACATCTACAGCATCCTTGAGTTGCTTTACAATCTATATTTTACGGAAACATTTGTATTTTAGTTTATTTTCTTTTATTGTGTTCAACTATAACAAGCTAAGTAAGCTTCAACTTGAGAGGGGAAGTATTAGAATATCTACAAATATCTCATAATATAATTATTGTATCTTAGAATATCGTGGATAAGAAAAAGAAAGATTTCCATATTATATTTCTGATTTCTCTCCTAGTCTAATTAGGATTAGGAGTCTAGAATTAATATAAATAGAGGTTAGGCTTTGACTTCAGTATCACATCCTGTCTATCAACTATACTTTCAGCTTAACTTCCACTTTTCTCTCTTTTCTTTCCAATGTAACCCTAATCTATAATCTACAATTCTTAACAATTTCATTTATTAAAGCAGGTAGAGTTCAAGCATTTTCTGGTCTCAAGTCCACAGGAGTTTGTGCTGAATCTAGTTTTTTTTCCCCCTATTTAATAGGAATTTAAAAAGAATGGTACAAATAAATAGGTGGTTTTATCCAAGACAGGTTGCTTGATATGGGCAGAAATAGCAAATCTTCGTACAAAAATAAATGAAGACTTAATTTCATCAGGATGTTTTTGCTGACAATCACTTCTCTTACTGAAAATTTAACATTGTCAGAAACATCTACAAAGTAAAACGTGAAATATAAACTTAAGTGTTTATTTTAAAACAAATCAAAATGGAACATAAAAGTATTAGAGATTAAAGATTTCACTTACAACCAGGATAATGAAAATTTGCTGCTCTCCACTTCATTGAGAATTTTCACACAAGTGGAAGATGAAGAATGACATTTAGTTTGTTCTTTACAATCCATTTCTGAGGGTAGAATGAATAAGATGATTCAAGATCAACATGCCAGACCATAACTCTTGAGCAGTTTTCCATTAAGCCCTCCATCTGACTTTCATCTTCAACCACCTGCTCAATCAATGAGCTAACCTGCATATACAAAAGCAAGTTCACAATTGATCGAGGCTTCATTTCATGTCGGATGGTTCTGGGCCACATTTTTCTCCCACCTTGTTGAATTGAAAAAAACAAGGAGAGGAGAGCCATTGCACGAGGGAATATAGAACAATGTCCAACCACACATTATTAATGTTATCTAATGTGATTAGATACGTTTTCAGAACTTGGTTTAGATACAGAAAGTTATATATTAATATTACACCACAGATAAAATCACCAAAATAAAAATAGATATATGAAGTTACTAACCCACAAACTCTCCTTGACTGAGTCAAGTTGCCTCATTGGTTCAAGAGTGGGGCGGTGCCACTTCTTTGGATCCCAGAGTATCGTACTATTGAATGCAAAACCCGGCATTTCAGCATGAAATCTTTTAGATTTATCATTTGATTCATTTATGTGCCATCCAATTACTCGGCTTCCATTACAAATGGGCCCTTGTAAGATAATGCTACTTTTATCCTCAGATAGTCTTGCTACAGTCCATGTTCCAAATCGCCTGCAATGAGAATATCTACCAACCAATAAAAAAAAAATTGAAAAAGGAAAAATATTATAGGAAAGAAGAATATGCAAGAACATTCTGGATAGTCCGATTTGGTTGAAGAGTGAGACAGACATTATCACACTGTCACTGATCATTACTGTTCACTTTTATACACACACATAAATACATACATATATTATATTATAAATTTTCATGGTGTTTTAGAATTCAAAATAACTATCTATTAAACAATAATTCTCTGCTTTGTGCTAATTAACCTAAAAGCTTGATGTAGCCAAACCATTCATTGAATACACAATGAACTCATATCCGTTCCTTTTATTTGGAATTACGATATATCTGTCCTCAGTGCCTTCATAAATTCCTCTGTATTCCCAAATTCCATTGTCCTTATTGATGAGAAAGGAATTTCATATGTAAAAATTGTACACTAAGAGAGTTGCAGAGCAGGGTTTCCCACCATTATGCAATTCTATTAAAATAAAGGTAAGTATGGTTGATAGAATTTGATTGCTAAGTTTGTATTAAACGAAGGGAAAGACTCCCAGTCTGACATCACTTTGCACTATGCCTAAGACCTTTGCAATGCAATTAAGTAGTCTCTATCTCCAAAATTGACAAAAGATAAAATATAACGCTAAGTCAATCAACAAAACTTACAATGACCCTCCCCATGCCCCTCCTTCAATAGGTTAGGCAGGCAAATTTAGAACCATGAGTCCTATCCTAGTAGAAGTGACAATCAGAAATTCATAATAAGTTAAATGCAAGTATAATTATTATTATCTTATCTATATTGCCTCAATAGACTACATGTCAGAAATATTTGACCATAACTTGCATCAAAGTAGCTATAGTGAAGGAGAAGGAGAAAGATTAAAACAAAATATTAATATCCTGGAAACTAGAAAGACCTTATTTCTCTCATTTGCTGAAAGAGCTCCACTGAGTAGATGTTATCCTCATCTGCAAAGTACACAATTCCATCAAGGCGATGAGTTTCAATGTGAGCCATTGCAACATTTCTTTGATGAATGTTCCTATGTCTTAGGTTGGTTAGATTCGTTTTGCAAATGAGATGCCTATACATAATGCCACTACTCCTTAAGATGTCAGCAGTTTCTTCGGATTGGGAAGTCGTCTCAACAACTATCCACAGCAAGGGAGGCGGGACCAATTTTAAAGACTGTGACAAACGATGTAAGTAATATGCTTGAAATTGATGACTGTAGGTCGGGGTCACAATTATGAGCAGCTTCTGAGACTCTAAGTATGGATCTTCACTGAATTGGCTATTGGAGACATTATATGCCAAGCCATCTATTGCTTCTTGCTCTGCTGATTTCAAGGTGGCATTAAACTTCACAGCCCCATCAATTGATGGTGTCATATTTATCTTCACATTTTCAAGTGGCTGGAGATTTCTAACTGTAGATATCACCTCAAAAGAGAAGGCTTGATGCTTTGGCATAAGACTCAAGGACATGTTAGTTGATACAGGTGGGATGAGTCCAATAGAAACACCAACCATGAAACAAATGAAGAAGTGGAAAAGCACCTTCCTCCAATGCTGGCCCCTTGGCTTTGATCTCTCAAAAGCCCTGAAAGATCTTGGGGAGAAAACACCAAGCACAAAAGCACGGTGGCCCAATCCAGCCGATGGTGAGCAGTTCTGAGGACTTGATGACGACTTAGACAAGGGAGAAGCTACTGAACAGACTTCTACATTGGCTATAGTTCCAGGTCTAGGCACTGGAGACAAGGCTCTTCTAATAGATGCCATTAACAGAAATCCAAGTCAACTTTTAGTAACTCCAAACGAACACTGTTAATAGAATTATGGCAGAAATGTATCCAAAGAAATCATAAACTTCTTGTCTTTCCCAGCCAAATACAGCAATTGTCATGATCTATTCATATTCACTAAGAACTTTTCCGTAACAATGTTACAGAGCCAAAGGTGAAAAATAAAGCTGGCACAAGAAAAGATTCAAAGGGAAAACCGTAAGTCCAACTCTCATTAGAAAGCCAAGCACATATCGGATTAAGGGTATGTTTAGATACACAATTTATTTAAGCCCTTATTCAATAAGAGTGTTTTTTTTTTTTTTTTAAATAACGACTTATGTCTTAATGATAAAACTTATTCGAATAAGATAAAAACAACTTATTTTTAATAAGATATATCACGAAGTTATTTTTCATAAGTTATTAATAAGGTCACCCGAAGAGACCTAAATACTTAAACAATACAAATCACAAGCAAGCATTCCAAAAAATTATCAAGAGGAAGCTCTATCAAATCTCTCAAAAGCTGCAAAGCACATTTCATAATGCAACTGCGATGGCATATAAAAAATAAAAATAAAAACCAATCTAGTGTATATAAAATCAATAACGAGCGGAACCACAGGAAACTGAGAAAATACACGTCAAATATCACGGTGTCTAACATATTAAAGATAACAGTTTTGAAAACTCAACAATTATTATCAGTAGAAAAGTTTAATTACCAAAACGACAGCGAAGTTGAATGTTGCGGCATGGTTGTTCCAAGTTTCCAAAAAAGTGGGGAACTATGGCACTGTTGGGTAATGCTCTTATGCGAAAACTGGGTCTGTGGTTGAGGATGAGTCAAACTAAGTGAGATTCAGGAATCTGTGTTTTTCTGAGATCTAAAGAGGGAGAAAGTTAAAACAAGAAAAGAATACAAAGCCTCTAATTATTAAAAAGAGAATGGAAAATAAAAAAGACACAGACGGCGATATGTTGCTTTCTCTGTCTCCCTATCCCAAACGAGATGACTAAGAAAGTTATTGCCTTTTTTCTCACGTGATTGACCACATCATTGGCCGTGGCGGGAAAATAAAAAATAAAAAAAGAGACGAATTTATCAAAAGAATCCTATAAGGATTTGCAAGAGAATGATTGAATTATTATCCATTTTAAGTGTTGAGGAATTGAATTAATATTGTCATCTTTAAAAAATAACTTTCATATTTTATAAAATATATTAATTTGAATTTTTTAATATAAGCATGTTGGTACTATATTCTAAATTATTAGCGTGATTTATAAATAAAACATTTTATTTACACGTGAGTTTGTGATATGTATTCCAAGTTATTAATGATTATTTTAAATAACGTGTTATAAATTTATACTAATATATATTACTAAGATAATAATTGATTGTCTATAATTTTTATGGTTTATAAGAAATAATTGTAATAAAATAATATATGCAAACTAAAATATTGCTTTGATTAATGATTTAATGAAATATATTTTTATTATAGTGTAGCAAAAACTTTAATTTTTTCATTATGAGTAAATATTTTTACAGTATTATTTTATTGAATCTATCTTTAATATTATAATTTTGTGATATTATCATAATAAATGTGTTTAAATATTAATTAAATGATGTATTATAATTAAAAAACAAAATAGAAATAACCTTAAAGACCAAAATTTACAAATTTAATATAGCATAAAAATTATATTTTGAAAATTTAATCAATTAACAACATAAAAAATATATATTATTAACATATCAAAATTAAATTCACCTATACAACTTTTCATCAAAAGTAATTTTGCAAGGTTACTTAATGTCTAGTGAGCTATTACAAAAGATGAAAAGAACAGGAGATAATGCCAAGAGTTGTAACAAACAACAAATGGTTAAAATGGCAAAAATAAAGTAATGTAAGGTTTAGAAATGAATAAACATGTATGCATAATTGCATATATAACAGATGTGGATACTATTAACTTGAAACACAGCCTTTGGCTCAGTGGAATTAAAATGCCTCGATTACTAGACAAAAGAGATAGAACCATTTTACTAATACATGATTAAAAAGAAGATGGAAGGTATCAACCAAACAACTATAATTATATGAATAGTTTATTAGTTGTACACCTGGCAACTCAGTCAACATGGGCACCAAAGAGATGATGTGTGAAACATTATTTCTCAATTCTTTACAACTTTCAACACCAATGCCCATCTTTTATTGAAATTTTATGTTTGTTTTGAAACTTTATTATATAAAACAATATAAATATAATTATATTATAGTTTTAATTGTTTTATATTATTCGTAGACTGCATTTAATAAGTGAGGGTATTAAGAGTTTCCGAAAAAAAAAAAAAAACAAAGGAGGGACTTTAATAAAATATTGAGAATAAAAAAAAAGTTAGGAGCTTTGAAGTCAAATAATACAAAAAAGGTAGTATTTTCAAAATATGCTACAAGTTCATCAAATAATGTTTTTATTGAATGTTTTTTTAATTAGATTGATTGAAAGTTTATGACGTATAATTTGTTGATTAAAATATTTTTATTTAGTAAATTTAACTATATAATTAGTTGAAGTATATTAAATGGTTTTTAAAAAATATTTTAGCTATTTTTTAGAGTATAAATTATTTAAAATAATTTTAAAATTTAGCTTTCAACCAGTTGAATATCATTTCAATTGGTTTTTTATGAGTTAGCTTTTTAAAAAAATATATGTTTATTTTCTTTTGTTTACGTAAAAAACTCTATTAACTTATTAATACCAAACATATTTTTAGGTTTTTGTTTAATAAAATTAATTATACAAATAGTTAAAACGTGTTAAGTGGCTAAAGGTAGAGTGTTCTGATTGTGTGAAACTGTGAATACAAATTGCTTAAAAGGTTAAAAATTATTATCTAAAAATATCGGGAGTTAACTTTTGATAAATCGAATGCTATTTAAGATAAGTTTTTATAAATTATATTTTAAAAGCTATAAACTCCAAAAAAAATAAAATTATCTAACAATATTACTCATATATTAAAAAATTACAAACTTTTAAATAGATTATAACTCTGTGTATTAACCACAATTTTTAGTTGAAATAACAATGATAAAAAAAATAATAACATGGATTTTTAAAAAATAAAACTAAATATATTGTTTATATAAAAAATAAAATTTATAATAACTTTTTATAGTTTAAAAAATATGTTAAATTATATTTAAAACATAATTAAAATTTAATTTAATTTAATTAAATGCATCTTAATTTAAAAAATACTTTAAAAAATTAATAATTAAAAACTTGTAACCACATCAAAGCGAAACTTAACGACCTTAATTTACATAATAGTCTCTTACTATGCTTTTAAACGGAGAATTTTACAATTTAATGAGAGAAAAGCTAACAGCATATTATCTTATTTTTATTATTAATAAATTTTATTAAGAGTTAAAAAATCATGCCAATCCCATTTTCTAATTAGTATGCGTTGCTTATGATTTTGTGAAATTTAACAAATAATAAAATATACGTTAAAAAGGTGTATTAAAATAATGAAGGAGTGACATTTATAATTTAAAAAGTAACAAGAAGTTTATTTCTTTTGGGCCAAAAACTTAATTTAATTACAAGTGAATTAGTATTTAGAAATTTTTTTTTCACAATTTTATGGATGAAATTAATTTCAAATGCATGATTTTTTTTTAAGATATACTTTTAACAAGTATTAATTTTGTTGTAAAAAGAAAATCTATACCTCCATGTCTCCTCTTTTTTCATAATCTCGTTAGCAGGGAATTGAAACTCTGCGTTTTGAGAGAAGGCGGCTCTTAAGCATCGTCTTTGGCCGTGAAGAACACCAACACAATCACTCTCTCACTCTTCAGATCCGTGCGTGTGGCTGAATCGCCATGGCCATGGCGATTAGGGTTTTTCTCATCCTTCTACTCTTTCTCTCATCTACTAATCTCAGCTCTTCGCTTTACGAAGATCAAGTTGGTCTCATGGACTGGTAAGTTCTACCACTCGTATTTATTCACACGGTCAAAGCTTTTTCCATCACTGTATAACACGTGCGATTATTCGATTTGATTTCGTCCCGTTCCCTCAATTCAATTCATTCTCCACTTGTAATTATCGTGCGGAACTTCGATCTAATTTCACCTACGAGTCGATACTCTCTATAATTTGAAACTTTTAAATTTCGTTACAAATACTTGTTACTTAATCTATGCTTAATTACTTTGTTGATCGATTATCATCTTAGGTAGAACCAAATTTATGTTTAGACAAGGAAAACTCTGATTCTAATTCCCGATTTGCCTTTTATGCCGTTTAAATATTACTAACTACGGATGATGTTTGGCTATTATTTGTAGGCATCAACAGTATATTGGGAAAGTAAAGCAAGCTGTGTTCCATACTCAAAAGACCGGAAGAAAGCGTGTTTTAGTGTCTACGGAAGAGAATGTAGTAGCTTCGCTTGATCTTCGTCATGGAGAGATTTGTAAGTCTGATTGTTTAATTGCTTTTGCAGTCTCTATTAAATTAGTTGTTAGAAATGTAATATCGTGTATGAAGCTCTAATAAAATATGAGCAATATTTAAGTTAATAACCTTGAACCGTTTTATAGATCGTACATCAAACCTTCCCAAGCAATAACCATTAGTTGCTTACCTAGCTATTTTTGTTCTCTGTTTAGAATCAGAAAATGCTGAACTGTGTTTTGTTGCTTGCAGTTTGGAGGCATATTCTTGGGACCAACGATGTTATTGACGGACTTGATATTGCCCTCGGAAAATGTATTATGCTAAATCCTTGACTGTGTAGAATGATACTTATGCTATTAAGTCTTCATTCCACTGCTGAAAAGTTATATGATAGTTTTAGAGTTGATTGTTGAAAATATCTAAAGGATGTGACAGTGTGACACTGACACTGATGTCCATGATTCTCCATGTTACTGTTATTCTTTGCCATTTTTTTTTGTACTCAGTTCAGTTATTGAAAACTGGATGCTGATTTCCTCTGCTTAGATATATGAACAATAGCAAGTTATCGACCAAAACTTTATAAATATATTTCCTCATAAATGCATAGTCATATGCAGTCCTATTGTTGATTTTCTATTATGATTCCCAACTGTGGAAACATGTGAAAATCTTGGGCTCAGAGATCTAGATTTTAAGTTTGTGAATTAGTGCTGGCATAACTCTAATTGTGGGAAGATATCAAAATTTAAACCGCTTTCTTGTGAAAGAATAAAGATAGCTTCAAATTAGTTATACTTCCTCTCCAGTTTCAAGTGTCTAATGTCCAAATTTGAAGGTGATAATATTGTGTTTGTTGTCCCATCCTTTTGAATGATGATATAAAATCAATTGAAGGATGTGTCAGCAGTATGCCTACACCATCATCACAGACTTTGTTGTGATTTCTTAGCCTTAAGTTTCATTTAATTATTCTTTACTTCTCTTCATGTTGAAACTTTATTAGAGTGAATTGTTTTTTGCATTTAAATGTTTAGCTTGTATCGATGACAAATTCTCACTTGTGCATTCTGATGTTTCAGATGTCATTACACTTTCATCGGATGGAAGTATATTGAGAGCATGGAACCTTCCTGACGGACAGATGGTTTGGGAGTCTTCCCTTCAGGGCTCAAAGGCATCAAAGTCATCAAAGTCCTTATTATACATTCAGGTGAGTGAATACTTGTCACTGTTTTTACTTTTTAAATACCATAATTTTTCTTGAATAAAATATATGAAATATGATGTTATTTTTTTATTGGAAAAAGTAAGAAAGTCTGAAAGTTAAAAAGATGGAGAAAATAGTATTTGATAAAGGCGACAATGTTCTCCAGAGTGCTGAAAAAGACTCATAGAGTGAAACACAAGTACTACAATAAGACCTAATTCTCTTGAATAGAATCGGAGAAACCCTCCTTGAAATATACATGAGCTGAATGCCAAGGAAAATAAAGTGGAATAACTTGATACTTCAAGATTCAAGCTTTCCATTTCTAGCTAAATTCACCATGCTAATGCTGACACATCCCCACAGTATTTTGCCTTCCATTTCAGCACTTATGAACACTTGGGTTTTTTTGACCAAACACATTCGTGTTGTATGGTACATGATTTCATGTAGGTGACCCCCCTCTGAGTGAGAAAATGTTGCTGCTGTTGTTGCACAGATGAAACCCACAAAACTAAATTACTTTCATTCAAAAGAATTGTTGTTAAAGTAATTTGGCCGAGTCCAACAAAATTATTTAGTCCCATGCCCCATGTCCAGTGAAATTTCCTCATGTACCCAATTCTCATGCTTCAGTATTTTCTGTGACCAACTGACTACTATCATGAACTTGCACTGGCTGCGCTCTTACTGATGTGAAGATGCCCTTGGCCTTGGTTTATTTAATTGTAACTGAACTTGAGACTGCATAGCTAATTTTCAAACAGATGCAGTTAACTTCTTATTTTATTTGTGTAGAAAAACTTGAAAGCTGAGAAGGATGATTTGATCCTTGTTTTTGGTAGAGGGTGCCTCCATGCTGTTTCCAGCATAGACGGTGAAGTTCTCTGGAGGAAAGATTTTGAGGGTGAAAGGTATGACAGATTTAGGGTTTAATGAACTAAATGTCCTTTTTGAAGCTTGATACTGCAACTAACATTGCTATGCTCATCATATTTGCAGCATTGAGGTCAGCCATATTATTCACTCAACTGATGTGATCTATGTATCTGGTTTTGTTGGTTCTTCAAAGTTTTATATGTATGAACTGAATGCTAAAAATGGAGAGTTATTAAAGAATGGTCATGCAACACTTCCCTGTGGTACTTTTGGGGAATTATTATCTGTGTCAGGTGATAAGTTTGTGGTATTGGATGATATGAGGTCAAAGATATTAACAATAATCATCAAGAGTGGAGAGATTAGCTACAACCAGAAGCAGATCTCAGATCTCACCAAGGATTCATCCGGACAGGCAGTAATATTACCAACAAAGCTTTCAGAATTGTTTGCATTAAATACCAATTCACATGTTCTTTTAATTAAAGTGACAAATGAAGGTGACTTAGTGTTGGTGGACAAAGTTCATAATGCAGCAGCTTTTAGTGATGCCCTGTCAATTTCAGAGGGGCAGCACGCTTTTGCATTTGTTCAACACGGAGACAACAAAATTCACCTCTTTGTAAAGGATGTTAATGATTGGAATGCCGATTTGCTTAAGGAAAGTATCGTAATAGACCGTCAAAGAGGGAATATTGATAAGATTTTTATAAACAATTATGTGAGGACAGATAGAACACATGGTTTTAGAGCATTGATGGTAATGGAGGATCATTCACTCTTGTTAGTACAACAAGGAGAAATTGTCTGGAGTAGAGAGGATGGTCTTGCATCAGTTGTGGATGTAACAACGTCAGAACTACCTGTGGAAAAGGAAGGTGTATCAGTGGCAAAAGTTGAACAGAACCTCTTTGAATGGCTTAAGGTATGCCCTTGATATTTTTAATTTGGTCACCCTGCATAATTTTTCATAGAGACATGTAAACATTAGCTTTTACTAAATTCATTGCATGCATTGAATGGGAAGGTATTGGTTTACACTGGCACAACTTTGAACTTTTATACAATTAAATAAGTTTCAATAGAATGTGTTTTTTTTTTTTACCAATATTATATTATAAATATTGTAAAATTGAGCAATGATAAAGTTATAGTCCAAAGTTTCTTTGCATATGTTGTAAAATTTTGATTTCTATCAATGAAGTATCAAATAATTTTGGAATAATCTAAACTTTTGTAGATATGATCTATATGATAGGAACTTGTTAGGTCCCATGAACCTAAGGGGACATGTCCAGTCCAGCTGAGTCATGGGCCTGGGATTTGGAAAACTTATAGTAGGAGAAATAAGAAGGGCCAGAATGGGAATTAAAGAGAAAAATTAGTTACGAAGAGTCGGTTGATGTGTAATGTTTCTTATAAGGGGAGAGAAGAGAGAGAAGGGGCAGTTATGCTTTTCTGCTGTTAGTAGTGGGCAAGGGTGTGCAAACCTTGTAGGAGCTGTGCTCTGGGTATTGCAGGAATCTTTTCTGCAGTATTTTCGTTTGTTAATAATATCTTTTACATCTTTGATTTGGTCTCTGACAGAACCTAAAATCTAATGGTGGGTTTTAGGATAGATTTATCTAGTAAAAAACTATTAAATGGTGTAAGAGTGACTTTGACTTACACTACTGGAAACCAATTCCTCATGTGTTTGACTGTTATCTGTTATTTTTAGAACTAGAACAGTGAGCCTGTGCACTGCACAAGAAAAAAGCCCAGGAACCATCAATTGAAAATGCCATTTGGAGTGAAGAAAGTTAGCTAAATGTTGACACGTATAATTCTTGTTGACATTTTTATTATATCTATATATTAGGGATTAGGAGTTTTATATGGATATCATTAACTACTACTCTAATGGTGGATTTTTTGTGCAATCATTAATTATTGAAAGGGACATGTGCTGAAGCTCAAAGGAACTTTAATGATTGCAAGCCCTGAGGATGTAGTAGCTATTCAAGCACTGAGGTTGAGGAGTTCTGAGAAAAGCAAGATGACCCGGGATCATAATGGCTTTCGTAAGTTGCTTATAGTACTTACAAGGGCAGGAAAGGTTTTTGCTTTGCACACCGGAGATGGACGTGTAGTTTGGTCTATTCTACTTCATACTCTACGCAGATCAGAAGTGTGTGAAAATCCTGTTGGGCTTAACATATATCAGTGGCAGGTTCCACATCATCATGCATTGGATGAGAATCCATCTATCCTTGTAGTTGGGCGATGTGGACCAAGTTTGGCTGCACCAGCTGCTCTTTCTTTTATTGATGCGTACACAGGGAAGGAACTCAATTCTTTGAATCTTGCTCATACTGTTGCTCAAGTCATTCCACTGCCTTATACTGATTCTACTGAACAGCGTCTGCATCTAATTATAGATGTTAACCAACATGCATATTTATACCCAAGAACACCTGAAGCTATTAACATTCTGCAACGTGAGTTTTCAAATATGTACTGGTACTCAGTTGAGGCTGATAATGGTGTTATCAGAGGTCATGCCTTGAAGAGCAAGTGCATTGGCGAAGTAGGGGATGAATACTGCTTTGACTTCAGGGATTTATGGTCTATTGTATTCCCATCTGAATCAGAAAAGATTATTACAACAGTGACAAGAAAATCAAATGAGGTATGTTGCCTTTGGCATTGAATAGTTTTTTAATTAAAATATTTTTTAAATGATAATGTTATATTCTACTTTATCAGTTATTGTCTTCTTAAGTTTTCAAAAATCAAAATATGAAATCTCATATCTCAGTAATATAAACCTGCATTATTTAAAATCCTGATTTCTTCTACTGAACATGTGCTTAAAGGTTGCCTTTTTCCTTGAGGTGGGATTTATTACAAATCAATAGTCTTAAATAATGAGTTAAAATTTGCAGGTATTTTACAAATTAATTTTTTATCTACTAGTAATAACAATTTTTGCCAATTTTAATGTCCAAATGTGATAATGCTCTCAAATCATATGCCTTTTAGTTATTTCTTATTAGATTGAGTTGTATCTATATCAGTTTTTTCAGTATATACAAATGATCACTAATAATATGACAATTACGGGTTTTCTCTTGTGTTTATACTTTATAATGACCTTTTTCTTTCATTGAGTCTTAGCCATTACTTTGCTTCTTTACTTTCTAAATTTTTTACTCTCTTTTTCCATCTAGGTTGTTCATACTCAAGCAAAGGTTATGACAGACTACGATGTTATGTATAAGTATATATCAAAGAATGTACTTTTTGTCGCAAATGCAGCACCAAAAGCCAAGGGAGAAATTGGAACAGCAAGCCCAGAAGAGGCATGGCTGGTCATCTATATCATTGATACCGTGACTGGTCGCATATTGCATCGCATGACTCATCATGGTTGCCAGGGTCCTGTCCATACTGTAAGTTTTGAAACTAAATTCTCATTTAAAAAAGTGTAACGCTAAAAAGTTGAAATTCTCTAACATGAATATTACTTTTGTATAGGTATTTAGTGAAAACTGGGTTGTCTACCATTATTTTAATCTCAGAGCACACAGATATGAGATGTCAGTTGTTGAGGTCTATGATCAGTCTCGAGGGGTATGTCTGTTGACATTGTTTATTTTCATTTCATGATCCTTTCCCCCTCCCCAGTTATGGGCTATGTTAATCTTTTTAATTTTGAGTATACGATCCTTGTGTTTATTCTTTCTTTTCTTTGGGGGTCCTAATCTGTCCTTGAATATAATTCACAGGATAATAAAGATGTTTGGAAGTTTGTTCTTGGGAAACATAATCTTACGTCGCCCATCTCCTCTTACTATCGACCAGAAGTCATAACAAAATCGCAGTCATACTTCTTTACCCATTCTGTGAAAGCAATTGCAGTGACTTCAACGGCGAAGGGTATAACGTCTAAGCAGCTTCTTATTGGAACAATCGGTGATCAGGTTGGAAATATTTGCACTATTATTTTTTTTTTCAATTTTTCTTCAATGAAATCTAGTGGTATTCGTACATTTTGAGGTGTAAACTGGGATTTTTTTTTCCAGGTTCTGGCACTTGACAAACGCTTTTTGGATCCCCGGCGCACACTTAATCCCTCACAAGCTGAGAAAGAAGAAGGGATTATTCCTCTTACTGATTCGTTGCCCATCATTTCTCAGGTATATGTTGTCTCTTTAAGTTTCCTTATTTCAATATAGGCCCAAAAAAAGTCCTTGTTCCTTTTCTTCATAATAGAAAATTGTTGTGTGTGAAATAAGGAAAATTTTGACAAGTGGTGCCACCATGCTCTATGGATGCGGTACATGTAGAATATGTTGAAAAGAGATGGGTTGAGGGGCTTATTTTGAATGACAAAAAAATAGTGAAGGGCTGTGGTCTTTTTTACCCTTAAGATAGTTCAAAGGCTAAGCAGATAACGTACACCTGTATATACATGCATGTGATGGTAAATTTCTGCTGCTAGGGGTTATGCATACAACTTCCCCTCCTTGGACTTCTGTGCAAACAAGGAATGTTTGTATTGCACTAGTTGCATGTTGAAGAGCCCATCCCGTGTACAATGTCAGAGGAGCCATTGTATTAGTAAATGAATCACAACTATATTAAGAATATAAGGGAGGAGAAATATGAATTAATCCCGGCTTTTACATGCTGCGGCCAGCATCACCCTCAATTAGGAAGCCTAGTAGGTCTGCTTGAGCAAATGCATATTAGTAAGATTAGCATTTATTACCAATTTTGAACTCACGTCTCTGAGCTTTACTTACTTCTTAACATATAATTCGTATTCATTCTGCTTGAATATCTGCAGTCCTATATTACCCATTCCCTTAAGGTGGAAGGTCTACGAGGTATAGTAACAGTACCTGCCAAGCTGGAGTCTACATCCCTCGTCTTTGCCTATGGAGTAGATCTATATTTTACCCAGATTGCTCCTTCTAGAACTTACGATTCACTAACTGAAGATTTCAGCTATGCTCTACTTCTTTTAACTATTGTTGCACTCGTAGCAGCAATATTTGTCACTTGGGTATTATCAGAGAGGAAAGATCTCCAAGAGAAATGGAGATGATCCCTCCTCCATTTTTGCCCTATAATTTCTCTAAATTTGAAGTTTTAAGTAGGTTTATCAGTTTTCTTTGTTAGTTAAGTTCGGAGGTCCACTGAATTCTTGTAGCTTGAATTGCAGAAGTAATGTAGAATACCATTACATTGCATTGTTTGAGGTTAAATGGAGGATTCTTTTAATTTTAATGATGTAAATTAAGGAGTACGAAAGAGAATCACAACTTTCGAGGCCAGTTGTGTCGTGAAATAAGTATCGCAGGCTTATGTTGACATATTTTGTTTTCCGTATTCTAAATGCAGTGTTTCATCTACAACTACGAGGTTTAAACAAATGTTGTAGATCTCCTTTCCAACCATTTTCCTTTTCTGATTAATTACAGATTCAGTTCTTAATTGTAGTTTTCTTTTAATTGCTTTGATATGAATATGCCGACGAACAATTTTTACGTCAACGTCATATTTGAAGCTTTTTGTGATTAGATTTGCCTCGAAGGTTTGCCTCAGCAATTATTTTGATACGTTGAAATTGCAATAATGGTTTAGTTGAACATGACAATGACATATCGAAAAGTAAAGACATAAGTAAAATTAACAGATTTTACACGATTGATGATAAATTTATTGTGATGTGTCTTTTATCTCATACAATGTCATGATAGTAACTAATATGAGAGAATTTTGATCCATTTAGCATAGCTTTAGTACCTGTTTATTTAATACACGTAGCTCCGTTTAGAAGAATCGAAATCTTGTAGCTTCTCACAAAATTAATTTTGGTAAATATGTAAACGGAGTTTGGTGTTTAATTCAAACAGGGTGCCAATTATGTAGATTCACGTCTTGCGTGCCAAAAGAAAATGAGTTTGTTTAGGAAAGATTTCTTAGAGTAGAATTCAGAGTGATATTATTTTTGTCTATTTTTAAATATTTTTATAACTATATTATTATTTAATTTCACATTTTACTCTTAATCATTAGATGCTATGCATAAGATCTTATGACCAAGTGTTTGGTTTTTATTAATGCTTTTAAAGTCGAATGTGTGACTGAATCAGCTTAGCGGTGAACAAACTCACGACTCATTAACCCAACGAATTATAGTTAAATATACAAATTCAAACTTAAGGTAATATATTAAATGTATAAAAAATTAACGTATTAATTGAGTAATATTAATTCATAATAAATTGATATGAGTATGATAATATATTCAAATTTGATAATAAATGAATATTTATAAATTAAGAATTCAATTTAAATATGTTGTAGTGTAAAACTTTTTACAACGCAACTTATTTATATTATATATTAACAAGAATCGTTATTTTTTAATAATTAATATAAAATTTATATATACACAATGTTTTTTAATTAGTTTATGATGTAATTTTTTTTTACTGAAAGTATATCAAAATAAATTTATAAATATCTTCTTTTTTTTTGCTAAGAATTTATAAATATCTTTAATGTCACGAAATTTAATTTAATATATCTTGATATATAATTTTAAATGTTTTCCTTTACAATAAAATTAGATTTTATAATATTTGATTGAAGTAAGTATTATACATATAAATCTTCCTAGGAAAAGTCAAAATGTAATAATAATAATAATAATAATATTTAACTTATACAAAACATTAAAATATATTTTAATACATCATTTTAAAAGATTAAATTTATCATAAATAACTTCTATTTTTTATTTGTTCTAAATTGTTTAATAGTTTTAACCTATTAAATAATTTAAAAGAAAATATGTTTATACTTATTTAACAAATTCATTTTGAAAGAACTCTATGCAAACATTTTATGAGTTATTGGATAAAAAGAGAAATGAATAAAAAATTAAAATTATTTTCGGAATCCACTTTTAAAATTAAAACCTTTAAAGGATATTGTAAATATAAAAATTAAAACACCTCTTAAAATATTAAATTTTATATAAAAAGGTAAATTATTTTTAAATACGTGATGTGATTACGAAATATTATTAACTATTCTTGTTACTATTACATTAATATATATATTTTTCAAAACTATAAGTAATAAAATTTATTTGCGTACAAATATATCTTGTGGAAAATTGAATAAATTAATTATTTTATCAATTTAATTTTTTTAAAACTTTATTATATGAAGTTAATCACTTGTTTTAAATCAAAAGTTTTAAAATATATAGTTTTATGTACGGTTCTGAATTGTCTACGATATATTTTTGAATCACTCAAATTATTATTATTAAGATCAGGCTCAAGTTGTTATTTATGACGAGTGACTTAAATTTAAAGATGAACGTGTGTCTTACAATTCAATTACTTTGATTGTGAGTGCGTTGTAAATTCAGAGTAAATTCATTCAATATGATAGAAAAGGATTGTTTTGCTAAATTTCATTAGAGTTATATTATTTATACAATAAATCCATACAATACTTTTATATACTCCTATTTATCACATTAATTATTCTATCTTATATTCTTATATATATAGTTTCTCATCTCATTATTCTTGTATATCGTGTGTGTGTATATATATATATAAAGAATGATTATAACAATCTTAAAACATTTTCTACAATGATTTGATGTCATGTGTACCTAACTAGTAATTGACGTAGGTTGAAATACTAGGGCAAGTTCTTTCTAATTTTATTTTTCAGTCTTGTTAACAAATGTCACAAGTATTAATTCGAATTTTGAGCAATAATATTTTTAATTAAAAATGTAAAATATATTAAAAATACAATAAAAATATACTAATTACATTTTTTATAACTTTTTTTAAACAAAAAAGTATTATTTTTAACCACATCCATAGCACAAACACAAACCCACCCCTAATCAGTGGAATGAAGATTGGAAAATAATTCATCGACACCCGCAATAGGAGGAAAGAAATAAAAATAAATAATAAATAAATCACTACATGATAATATTTTAGTTAGATATGTTATCATTAAGAATTAAAAGTGTTAATTTAAAAAGATTATAAAATTATTAAGATTAAAAATACATGTAAATGATAAAAGTACAAGGTTTGATGAAGATTTGATTCAGGGGATCTCAGTAAATGTGTAAAATGAAATGATAAGAGGAGGGAAGTCAGATTGACCCATTCTATCGTTTCTCACGAAGGTGACAGAACCCATTCTAAACGTGTAAGAGCCACGTAGTAACAGCAGAAGGAGTAACAGTAACAGTGTCCTTTTCTTCTTCTTCTTCTATTATTATTAATTTTGTTATTGTCACAAACACAAACACAAACCCCAAACGAATGTAATGTAATGTAGCAGAACAAAACACACAAACAGAGACACAATCCTCTTCACAGTTCTCAGTTCACAGTTGACACCACCATGAAAACCCATCATCAACCAAAGCTGAAAACCCAACTATTCTCATGTGGTTTCTTTCGCCACTGTACTCAAAGCGTTCATAGCCCCACAGGTAACACCCCACCCCCACCCCTTCCTCTCACTCCCCCTCGCTTCCAATGCGAATCTTCAACCTCTTCCTCTTCTTCCCAATCACAAAGCTTCACCCAGTGGCAGTGGAGATTCTCACCAACCAAAAACACAAACACTGTAACCACTCCACCACCACTACAAATCCATAACCTCCAAGAACTCTTTCACGTGTCAGAACTCCAACTGACCACAGACCCAAACAGCGCACTCCACCTTCTAGAACGTTCTCTCGTACCCAACCCTCCGCAAGAACAACCACCCTGCCCTCCCAATCTCATGCGAGCCCTTATCCGCAACCTCACCCACGCCACTAAGATTCTCTTTGCGCTTTGCTTGTCTCACACTAACCGCCGCGTCGCAGTTGAGGCCGGCGCGGTCGGCGCCGTTGTCGAGTCGGCGACCGAGCTCGATGGCGCGCCGGCTGAGAGGGCTCTGGCAGCGTTGGAGCTCATGTGCACGGTTCCCGAGGGTGCTGCGGAGGTTAGGGCCCACGCGCTTTCTGTGCCGGTGATGGTCACCATGATGGGAAAGACCGGGGCGCGCGGGAAGGAGTACGCCATCGGAGTGCTGGCGGTGATTTACGGCGGCTCGGTGACGGAACAGCTCACAGCGCCGCCGGAAGAGGTGGCGCGTGCGGTGGAGCTGGCGCTTCAAGGGGAGTGTAGCGCGAGGGGGAGGAGAAAAGGGGCACAGTTGTTGAAGAAGCTGAAGCAATTATCTGAGGCTGAAATTGAAGCTGAGGCTCACTCTCTGAACGCAAATTGAAGGTCTTAAAATAAAATAAAATAAAATTATACGTTCTTTGTTCTTTTCACCTTTTGTTTTTGGCATTGTATAGTGTTTTGATTTCTTGCTTTTTCGTTTGGGTTTGTGGAGTGGAACTATTAGGTATTAAATAATTTGTGCTTCCTTGTAGTATTATTATTATCTTACACTATCCCTAGTTGGTTTATTGTAAGGATTAAATGAATGGTTAATTTTTTAACTTAAACTGATCCTTATGTTTATGAAACGTGTGTGTTTTAATGATTGGATAATTTTCTTTTTATTGAAATAAAAAGGGTTAAAGTATAGTTTGTAGGAGGAATAGTTGGTTTAATGTCATTGAGATTCACTCTGTGGCTGAGTAATTAATATGTCATGTTTCAAAGTGTGAAATGAAAGCTGGTGATTCATTGTTGTCAACTTAAACAATAAAATCTTCATGTTATTGTGCTAAAATTCAAGCTTGTTCTCCGTTTTATTAAAGAGTTTTGTTATTCTCAGTTTTTAGCCCTAGTTTAAGCATCTTAACAATATTATTTTTTTATTAATTGTATAAAAAAGAAAAATACTATATCTTTCTACGATTTTAACTTATAAATCTTTATCTTCTAATAAATATTAATTATCTTTTAATTTTTTTCTCTTTCAAAAATATTTGTCACTTTTATGTGGGTTTGAGAATTTGTAAGATAAAATAGTAGTAAGATATAATATATTTTCATTGAAAATATAAAAATATAATAAATATTTTTTATTAAAAACTTATTACTTTTTAATGGCGTAGGGTGACGCATTCTTTAACGAGTTTCACATTTTGAGTAATTTTTGCAAAAAGTTAAACTCATTAAATGACGCATTGGTAAAAAAAAAAATAAAAAATTAAATAATAGTGTGGAGATATTTTACACCATTAAATTTGGAGGGAAAAAGGGCATACAATTGTTCACCAGTGTCTTTTATAAATATATATTAAAAATTTTATTTTAATAACTTCCTATTATTGTTAATACAAATTTAAGAATTAACTAGGATAATTTATGAAAGTTTAGAATGTTCTTTTTCTTACTAGAATTAAAAGTCTAAACTTATTTACTGTAAGTAATTTAATCTTAAATTAGTAGAGAGTTTAGGAATTATTTAACATGAAATAAAAAATTTAAAATTTTATTTTACAAAACTCACAAAGCTTAAGGTAGGTCTATGTTGTCTTTAAAAAGGTTAGTTCTACGTATTTTCCCTAAAGATGTTCTTCATCTGATAGTGAACTTAAATTACGTGGTAGAAACTTTTCGACCATAAATTAAAGCTATTCCAATGTATAGAAATTGGAAATGGTCAGTTTGGGTATTTTTTTTAAAATATTAGATAACAATAAAATTAAGAGAATAAATAAATAACTTTTTATAAATTAAATTAACTTATACACTTTAAATTTTAGAAACATTAAATAAAATGATTTTTTAAAAAGTAAAAGGACATAAATGAATTTTAACTAACAATTTTTTTTACTTATTTAATTTTTATCTTGTAGAAATACTCAATATAAATTAATTCAAACTGGGCCACTGTGGAGCTGGTATTTGTATTTGGCATTGGCTCTTTTAACTTGATTCTTTTAAATTTGAAAAGAGAGTGGAGAGGACAAGGAAATGCTGAGCTGGAACCTGAAGTGCAAACGACAAGCCTAACTCATCCATTCCATTTTGAGCCAGACCAATCTTTTGACCTAGAAAAGCCTAATTCAATAATTCCAAAACCAAAAATAAATAAAAACCAACTTCATGAGTTCATATGCATATTTTATCTCATGCTTTCTGGTCAATTTATCTCTGAGTAAAAAAGAACGACAAAATTCCATGTCCCAAAACTTTGTTGTGGCCAGAGATTTCAAGAACATGCATCTGTGTTGAGGGCAACGTAACGTTGTACAACAAAATTTGAAGATATTGGGGTGGAACAAATTAATGTAGAATGAGTTTATATCTATATCCTGAAATTAAGCATGTCAGATTCACGTGGAGTGGGGTTAAGTTTCAGAAATTGCTGAAAATGTGTGTTTGTTTCTGTAGGAAATATGTCAGATTTGGGAGAGAATAATGGTGCAACAGAGTGATGGCTCCATTCCTGAACCCTTTACACATGGTAGCATAATTGATGCAAAAATATATCTTGTGGGGCTAGTTAATTAATTACACTTGCGTTAATTGTTTTTCCTGAAACAGGTAAATCACTTCCATTTTCTTACAAAAAAAGAAAAAGTAGAGGTTGCATGTATTATATTTACTTTTTATTTTTCTTATAAATAATTAAGATTCTTTTTAAGTTCCGTAGGGGTAGGGCCTTCCATAATATCTTCCTTGACACTTCATGTGTTTCCTTTTCAAATCAATGAATTGTTAAGTCTTCTTTTATTCTTTCCTTATCACTTCATCAGTTAGCAAGAATGTTATTACTTTCATAGTCGATCTCATTGACATAAACCAAAATGATTTCTTCTTGTTGTAGAAAGTCTCTTGTATTAATGTTTACTCAATTATCCTTTCATAGCTTCTTAACATTAAAATGGTTTATGAGCTTATAATCCTCTTAAAATTTCAATAATTTTGCATATATTTTTATTCTAATAAATGGGGAACAAAATACTTCTTCTTCACTTGTCCAACATTATTTTTTAAAATAGATTTCACAATAACGTTGTTTAAACAACTTTGTAAACCAACTTTTTTCTCCTCTTATACCCTTACATAATGATATGTTATTTGGTGTAATTACTTATCCTTTTCGATATTTCTTTTTCTATTGGTTTCTGAACTCTAGATAGAAGATATAACTTTTACTCTTTTCTATGTAGTATTTACCCTATCATAAATGCAATAAAAAAAACGAGTCTTTTTTACAAAATAGATTTTGAAAGTAATTCTTTTATCTTACAATTGGTACCTTATTCTATGATCAAGACTTTACCTTCTTTTTTTCTTAATGCTCTTATATCTTTCGTTTTCTACCTTTTATTAGCAAAGGTCTAAACAAATATATTTTTAGGGCCAATAAATTATTATAACCCATTAAAACCTATAACTCGCTTCAATTATTACCTTCTTAAAGTTTGATTATTTAGTACCTTATATCCCCCCAAATTTCAACAATTTTACACGAAAAAAATTCATATTTTGCAATATTTCCTTTAATCTTGTACCGCCAACAATTAAATTATACTTCCAATGATATGGACCAACGCTTAAATGATGCTTTCAACAATTATGAAGAATGTTCAGTAGGCTCCTAATTCATTCATTTTACCTTCTCAATCGATGATGAGTTGATGACTTGAAAATGTTTTGACAATGTTGTTAATTTGGTTGGTTTACACACACACACACACACAACCCAGTCGTCTAGCAAAATTATTTAATTGATAATTAGTTAAAATAAAACTGTATTTTATGATTTTGAAAGACAAAGTAATTAAAGCAGTAACAACCACGTGTATTATTTACAATTAATCTTGCCACGATAGGTTTGACTTCTTTTATAGTCTTATGCTAAAATTAAATTTTAAAGAAAATGTTGTTTATATTAAAATGTACGTCTCGTATAAAACTTTCATATGTTGATAACTAAATTTTTATATCTAACCTACTTTGTACGCCTCATCTCATTTCTTATTCTGTTGTTGTGAAAAAAGAAGAAGATAAAATAACAATTATATTTAATTTTATGATTTGTAGTCGCGTAATATAAAATATATACTGCGAATATAGGGGTTTGATTGAAAAACAAAAGAGTAATTTATTTTTTCCCCTCTTATTTTAAAAATTATATATTTTTTCTTGAAAGATTAATGTGTTACAATTTAGTTTATTTTAATTTAAACCAACCTCTTTTCATCAAATTTCATTCTTATTTTATGACTCATAATATTATCAAAAATTAATTTTGAACCTCTAGCTACAATAAACGTTGAGACTATAATAAATGAAACGAAAAATCAAAGTAAAATAAAAAACAAGTGTTTATAAAATAGTTGCATTACTAAGAGTTGGTAAGCTTAGGAGTTTAAGAGAAAACAAATAACATCTCTAACAAACTCATTAATATTAAAATGAACTAAAATGTAATACATATTAATCTTTCAAAAGCAAAGAGTGTAAATTTAAAATAAAATAGAAGACAATATAATTTAAGTATTTTTTTTTTCTTAAAAAAGTGTAATTAACTAAAGTTATTGTCAAACAGCCCTGTAAAGCAACGTCAAATATACGACAATATTGAACAATTAATTTTAGAAAAGTGAGGATAAAAATAAAACTTTAGATGACATAAACCTTTATAAGTATTTTTTTATTTTGGCCATTAATTAATCATTATCTCTTAATCTTAAAGCCTTTTCGGTTCATGATTTCTGAAAATATCATTTAGAACTGCCCATAATTTCGCAAATAGCAAAGATATGATTGGTATGCTTTCAGGAAAACAAAAAACTAAAAAGATTATTTGATTGACTCTATTACACACTATATCATGTATTATTTATGTTGTTAAAAAAACTTATCACCATAATGATTACCTAAAAAATTAATTTAGCTTTCTAATTATACGCTTTAAATGATAAAATAGCTTATGTACGAAAGACACTCGATACTAGAAAGTTTCTTTTATCGTCTGTAAGTCAGTACATCTATCTATTGATCCTGAATTAGAATGCAACAACATATAGATGAATGCAAACTCTCACACACACTTTTCTATTAAACATAAAATTAATTGGCAGAAAATGTGAGTAAATGTTTCCATATGCATTCATCAAGTTATTTTATATATTATCAGTTTCATGACTACAAACATAACTTTTTTCTTTTTATCAGAAAAAAAAAACATAAAAGAAAGTAAACAGCATACCTTTTATTTATTTTTATTTTTACAACAAACATCTTAATTGAGTTGCAATTCAAGAAACTTGAATACGTTTTTAATTTCTTCTTTCCCATTAAGGCTTTGCC